TTTTGAAATTGCCATCATCAAGGTTTGTCACCCGATGTCAGGGGTCTGGCTAGACCCACGTCTTTCCCATTCATTCAATATAATTTAATTTTATTTATAGATAAAAAATATTATTTATAATCTACTTTGTTAATATATTTTTAGTTAGTTTATAGTTTTCAATGTTTATATATTTTATTTCAAATTTGGGCTTGCAAAATTTGTAAATATTTTATTTTGTATTAAGATCCGAAGTTACAATTATATTGTTATAGTTTTTCAAATTCGAAATTAACAATTTGTTTTGTAAATATTTCATTTTGTATTTAGTTTGACCGTATCTTTTAATCTTATTAATTTAACATAATGAACGTTGATATTTCAAAAAAAAAAATTTGTACTCATGTGAATTTTACCGTCTTTACGAAAATTTCTATTCATTTAACATTTCTTAAGTTTAGATTATCACACAGGTAGGTGAAAATATATTTGATCTCTTTTTCAAACACCGTTAACTTGTAAAAAACCGAAAAACCGAAAAAAACCGAAAGAACCGACTAAAACCGAAACCGAAAAAACCGACTTTGCGTGGTTTGATTTGGTATTTAGATTTAATAAACCGACATAATTGGTTTAGGTTTTTTTTAATGAAAAACCAAACCAAACCGACCTATGTACACCCCTACATACAAACACTATAACAAAAACAACTTTTAGCTATAATTAATATGCACATTAACAAAGAATGTTGATATTTTTATCAATATTAGTTAATTGTCATTACATTCAATATCGCTATAAGTTTAAGAAACATTTACTAATTATCATGAAAAAAAACATATTTAGCGGTAATTAAATTATTGATAATTAATTGCCGCTAAAGATCAATTTTTACATAGCAAAAGTCCCATTTTTACTTTTTAATGTGTCTTTATTTTTATTTAAGTCATTATTACATGTATAACAATGTCTTCTTCTTTTTTTCAAAATTAGTAAGTATAGGTTTTTTTGGTTTCTCATCCGGTGTTTTAATTAATTATCATTTTTATATATATACAAACACTACAACAAAAATAGCTTTTAGCAGCGATTAATACGTATATTAACAAAAAGTGTTAGTGTCTTTATCAACATTAGTTAATTCTTATTGCATCCAATGTTGCTATAAGTGTTAGGGGCATTTACCAATTACCATGAAAAAAAAACATATTTAGTGGCAATTAAATTATTATTGTTAATTAATTGCCGCTAAAGATTAGTTTTGACATAGTAAAAGTCCCATTTTACTTTTAAGTGTCTTTAATTTTATTTAAGTCATTATTACATGTATAATGATGTCTTCTTCTTTTATTCATTGGTTTTCATTCGGTGTCCGATATCCATATTGGAGTCTGACTAAATTCGGATTTGCACCGAAAGTCCCACATTAATCGGTAAAAGCACTCTCTAACAAAGGGGATTCTGAACCCAAGGGGACTCAAACCTGAGACCTCTTGGTTAAGGATAAAGTAGTATTTACCACTCCACTATAACCTTTGTTGGTAGTAAATATAGTTGTCACTCATGTATATATAACAAATTTAGTGTCTAATTAAATATTCTTTTACTAATTTTTTTACTTTTTTATAAATAAAAGGTATTTTTGAAAGCTTGGATGGATGCATGCAAATGGAATGGAGACGCTACATTTTTGATACCTTTAGGAACATATATGATATATGGTGCAAATTTTATTGGACCATGTAAAGGATCCTTAATTGTTAAAATTCAAGGTGTTATTAAGGCTTCAACAAATCCTAAAATATTTTGCAAGGATTCTTGGATTTCTTTTGAACATTTAAATAACTTAGAGATTGAAGGGGGTGGAACTTTAGATGGACAAGGAGATTCATTACAGAGAAACCCTCAATGTGCAACTCGTCCTTATGTAAGTTTTCATTAGTTTTTTTTTTCCAGTATCCACATTGAAGTCTCGACTAAATTTGAATTTGTGATGGGAGGTCCCATATTGGGAAGGTTAAGTGCTCCTTAACAAAGGTTGACTTTGTACCCAAGAGGCCTCGAACCTGAAACCTCTTGGTTAAGGATGAAGGAGTACTTACCAGTTTTCATTAGTTATACTATATTTTTTTGTCTAAATTATTTTGATTAAGATTATTTATACTGAATTTCACGTTATCTATTTCTTTTTTAATTAAAAAAAATGCTTATTTGATGAAGCATTAGATGAAAGTTAAAGTGAAAAATAAATCATTATTTGACACAATTAAAATTTTAATTTTGGTCAGTATATTAATTTGTGTTCTTATTTTATTGTATTCATTTTGTGCCTCCTCTTGTGAAAGGTAAAGTAAAAATTTTTAAAAATAGTTTGTACTACTATTAGGTCACAAATTTGGGGTACAAGACCGGATTGGTGCGGATTTTCAAATATCAAATCGAATTATTTGTGTCGGATTTTAAAATTGATAAATCAAATCAAACTAATAAAATTTGGGTTTTTCAACCTCGGATTTTTGGATTTTTTGGATTTTTTTGGGTAAAGTAATCATACAAACAAATAATGAACTTATGCTCCAAATATTCTTTAGTCCTATCAAAATATGCGATTTGGTTGGATTTTTTATTTAACTTAATAAAGTTTGTGTTATTTCCTTGATCTTTTTATGGTTACGATTTATTATTTTTTTGTGTGCATTTGAAATTACAATGTGAAGTTACTAACTTTTTTTTTTTACCCTCCCTAGGAACTCCCACCCCATTTGCTCCCTTGGTGACTCGAACTCGCAACTTTCGGGTTGGAAGTGAGGGGTGCTTACCATCCGAGCAACTCGCTCTTGTTTGTGAAGTTACTAACTAAATATTATTTTCAATGGTTTTTTAGACTATTGGATTGAGTTCTATCCAAGATGCAATTGTGCACGATATACACGCTATCAATAGCAAGATGTTCCATTTCGATGTCTATAATTGCAATAACGTGACATTAAGTCATGTAAATATAATTGCACCAAGTGATAGTCCCAACACTGATGGAATTCACATTAGTTTATCGTCAAATATTCGAGTTTTTGATTTCAACATTGATACTGAAGATGATTGTATATCTATCTTTGCTGGAAGTCAAAATGTTAATATTTCTGGAGGTACTTGTGGCCCTGGCCATGGATTAAGCATTGGAAGCTTAGGGAATAAGCCAAATGAAGTTGTTAAGGATGTACATGTTAAAAATTGTACTCTTATAGCTACTCAAAATGGAATGAGGATTAAGTCTTGGGCATCATCAAATGTTGGTGAAGCAACAAGTATTAGTTTTGAGGATATTATAATGGACAAGGTGAATAATCCTATTATTATTGATCAACATTATTGTCCTTCACATACTTGCAGTTTTCAGGTACCAATCGTTTTTTTCCTTCTTTTCACCTTCAAATTTTATATATTGAGTATGTTGTAAGCAGGGACGGAGCTAAGTGGGGTTTTTCGGACAAATCCAATAGTTTTTTTGTAGTTTCTGTATTTGTGAACTGCCTAACAAAACTGATTGATAGCTCAGTGTTAAGAAATTAGTGGTGAAAATGTTTTCCACTCTAGTGTTGTGGGTTTGAACCCCACTACCCACTACTAACAAAAGTTTCTATATTTTTTTTTAAAAAAAAAAAACATGTTTTGCAATTATTTTTTTTTCCGTCCTAAAATTTAGAACCCCTAAGAATGTTTTGTAATATTTTTCTCTTCCGCCCTAAAATTTTAAACTTCCAAACATGTTTTGTAATATTTTTCTCTTTGGTCCTAAAATTTAGAATCCCCAAACTCCTAGTTCTGGTTCCACCTCTAATCGTTAGTCATGTTCAATAAAAATAATTTTTTGGATGATATTTTTTCTTGATTGGTGAAATTCTTGAATATGAAAGATGTATAAAAAAAATGAGTTATTTTTTTTGTTTTGTTTTGTGAATTAAACATATTTTAGTATCCCAAACACACAAATTTCTTAGGTCATGTGAAATATAAAAATTTGTATAAGCTTTATACTTTGTATTAATTTATTGATTTCACTCTCATTTTTTTTAATTTTTAGAAAAGCTTAGTGCAAATCAAGGATGTGACTTTCAACAACATAAGAGGAACTTCAAATTCATTGGTAGCTATGAATTTCAATTGCAGTTCTTCATTACCTTGTCAAAAAATCAATCTTAATGATATTAAGTTGATTACTGATAATAACGCTAAACCTACAATCGCATCGTGTGCTAATGCCATAGGACAAGCCACCGGCATCGAGTTACCTCCGAGTTGCTTAAAGCCTGTTCTTGAATCTTGAACTTAGGGTTATTCGAATTTTGAAAAAGTTAGAAAGAGAACATTCGATGGTTTTTTATAGATTGAGGATTTTTTTGTACTCGATTTCTTCAAATAATAATTCTTAATCCACTTAATCATTCTTGATATATATATTATTGATCTTATATGAGATTTTATTATTTTTAAATTTTAAAAACTTCTTTCTGTTGAGGCGTTGATGATGATTGTTACATAAATGTTAGTAGTATTCTATAAGCAAAATGAGCATTTGAAAGAATTGAGCTTTTTTATTTGATTGATTATATCGATAAGAGTTTTATCTTTTACTTGTATAATTTTTTTAATACTTTTTATTCAGAATTAAGTCTAAACGTTAATAAGATTGTGATTAGTGGGACTTATGTTTTAAGAAACATTCAAGATAAGGCAGTACTTTTTTAAATTCATATATATTATCTATTGATCTCAATTTTTTTCACTAAATAGAAATTCAAAAATATTTTTATATGCTTTACATTATTAAAAAAAAATGAAGTGAAAAAATGACATAATATACTACGTATTAGATATAATTGACTCTAGAAAAAAATTTCAAAAGACATTATGATTTCTTTTCTTTTATTTTGATGAGTTGTGATTCGAGCCATTATAAAAGATACTATCTATCTCATTGATAAGAATTGATATAAATTTCACTCACTATTTTAGAGAAGCTAATAAAGTAGCGAATTATCTAATGAAATAGATCACAACGATTAACTATCTACAACAATTTTACGTAAGTGTTAGAGAGTGCTAAAGGCTCATTCTTTCTCTTCTTCTTTTTTTGATGACAAGGGAAACCCGCAGCTGCTACTTTTTGGGTGTGCACATGGTAAAACCCCCGCTCCTATGCAATAACTCGCAAACCACATAGGAGAGGTAACCCGTACTAGGCAAGCTTGGTGCGACAAGCTCGACCCAGAAAGCAAACCCCTTGCTTTCGCTGGCAAGGGATTTCAAACTTGAAACCTCCAACATGGAAATCCAAGCCCAAACCACTAGGCCACCCCGAATGGTAAGCCTCATTCTTTCTCGACAAAGCGCAAATGCCTAGATTTAGGATCAACTATGACAAGGTCAATTTTTTTTATGCTAATTAATCTTTGTAGATTAGAGAATATGTGACATTCTTTAGCTAAGTATTCTCTCTTTTGTTTTTCATCTGATTACTTGATATCATTGATTCAGGCAATTTTTTTAGTAGTTTGGGGTTATTCAACAAAAATTAGATGATCTTTTAATTTGTTTGTGTGTGTTAGTATATGATTTTTTTTGATGATATGAATTTTGAAAACTATTTTTATAAAATCCTTACAAGATCCTCTGTAATGTCCAAGGGGAACAATACCTATAGTCTCACAATGATATTTTATATTTAGGGTCACACAACAAGAATTAAGTGGTTTTTTCAGTTATGTGTGTGTTAGTACATGAAGTTGTAGTGATATGGATTTCGGACACTTTTTTTTGTAAAAACTTTACAAGACCCTCCATAATGATTTGGGGAAACAATACCTATAGCATAACTTTGATTCACAACACTTTTTAGCATTTAGAGGTCACTCAATAAGATGTAAGCGATTTTCCCAATTTTTTCGTGTCTTATAACATGAATTTTTTGGTGATGGATTTTGAGAAAATTTTTTGCAAAAACTTTATAGGACCCTCCGTAATGACATGGGAAAACAATACATATAGTGCCACTATGACCACGCCACTTTATCAACACTCAACAGGAATTAGGCGATTTTCTCAATTTTTTATGTGAATTAGTACATGACGTTTTTGGTGATATAAATTTCGGACACTTTTTTAACAAAATCATACGATATGTGAGAGAATAAGACATGAAGTCTCGAAACTCAAGAGATAGCCAATCAACATGATAAAGAAAAATCAAAGAATAGAATTTTTTTTTGAGATGTCCTATAGCCTCTCGAAGATAAATACAGGCGTTATCGTATAAATCTGCAAGTCTCTACTAAACTCTAGCTGTTGTAACTGTAAGGCTAGTGATCAATCTAGACACGTTGGTATCTTATTATCATGATAGGGCCTACCAAATTCCCCCATATATGAATCAACAATTTGCCAACATAGAAACATTTTTAAGAAATGTGGAAGAAATAAACAATAAAGTAAATAGTTTTAAAACTCATTCTTTTCATAAGTAAAAATAAGAAGTGCAAAAGTTAAGTCAATCTCAAAATCTAGTATCGCTAGTACAAAAGTTTACTAAACATACAATTGTTTACTGCATCAAAATGTTTCAAGTCAATTCAAGTATTCGAAATTATTTTCCATAGAATATCATGTCAATTTAAGTACTTAAAATCATTTTCCTTTGGGTTTCATGTCAATTTATTTACTGAATCATGACTATATAAGCTATTCCAATATTGAGAGATTTAATATAGATGGAATTCATGGAAGCAGATCGTCATTATAATATCTTTGCTCGCGATAATTATAACCTCTCGAAAGAATCGATGACTTCATCAAAGATGTGACGCTAGTACACCTAAGACTTTTTAGTTGATTAATTATAAATATAGCCCCAGAGCTATGGAACAAAGAATTATCTCGGACCTAGACGGACATAATCAATTTTACTATTGCATATCGCAATCAGCTCATAATCGCAATTTTTTCACTCAATATTTATTTTTGTTCTTTTATTTTGCGTATATGCAGTGCAATGTGAGATCATCTAACTTGATTGATAAAAAAAAAATATCTATAGTCAACTCACAAATGATGTTAACAAAATATAATTTTGAGCTACTAGTAAAAATTCGCTATACACAATGACACTAATTTAATTTCAAAAAATTAACAGTCTCTAGTAAATAACAGTACAATCTAGGGGTGAGCATGATACGGTATTGAAAAGTTTGATACGGTTATTTGATTTACAATTTTTTAAAAATATTATTTCATTATCATATCAAATTAATTCGGTATGATTTGGTATTTATAGATCGATTTGGTACTTTATGGTATTGTAAATCGTTTACTATAGTTTGGTCAACTTCAAGTTTTTAACTTACATATATTCATATAATAAAGAATTATGACTTTGACTTTTTTAAAAACGTCTCAAATATTATATCATACTAATACCTTATACATGTAAAAAATATTCAAGATAAAGTACAAACAATTGTCTTTGTTAATCAATCACCCAAAACAAACATTTAAATCATGATAGAGTAATCAAAATTTCAACATATAAATAATTAGTTAGGTGCGGTATTCGTATTTTGGTATTGTTTTTTATAAATATCAAATACCATACTGAATACCAAACTTTTTAAAATACATATCAAATACCATAAAATCTGAATCACGATGTTAAAATCTTTTATTTCGATATGATATATTCGATATCTACCATACCATGTCCACCGCTAATACAACGATTCTCATAAGCCTAGCTGGTGGTTCAGTCAACTTACCATGATATTCATTCAACTTACCATGATATTCATTCAACATACCATGATATATATTCATTTTTCTTTCTTTGCAACTCACTAATAATTGAATATAAATTGTCAAAAATAATATTTGTCAAGACTATTAAGGAAATAGTTTAATGAAGGAACCACAATTTGAAAAGGGTGATTGGACAACAAATCTCTTAGGTATAATTGAGTCATTTGGGAAGTCAAAATATGAGGGGAAAAGAAGGTGTATATAAACACAAGTGAAAAAAGAAAAAAATAAAGAACAAAGAACAAAACATAAATGGCTTCAAATTTTTGTTTGAAAATAGTTTTTATATTAAACCTTATTTTTGTATGCACTAATGCTGATGACAAAAATTTTAGTGTCATTTCCTATGGTGCCAAAGCAGATGGAGTGACAGATGATAGCGAGGTGTGAACCAATCACTTTACCTTTAAATGCATTTTTAATTATTTGTCATTTTTTATATACACACGTTATATAGCAAAAATAGCTTTTAGCGGTAAACAATATGTACATTAACAAAGAGTGTTGATATTTTTACCAACATTAGTTAATTGTCATTACATTCAATGTCGCTATAAGTTTTAGAGACATTTACTAATTATCATGAAAAAAACATATTTAGCGATAATTAAATTATTGATAATTACTTGCCACTGAAGATCAGTTTTGACATAGCAAAAAGTCCCATTTTTTTTCTTTTTTATGTGTCTTTATTTTTATTTAATTCATTATTACATGTAAAACAATGTCTTCTTCTTCTTTTTTGTAAATGAGTAAATATAGGTTTTTTTGTTTTTCACTCGGTGTTTTAATTAATTGTCATTTTTATATATATGCAAACACTACAATAAAAACAGCTTTTAGTTGCAATTGATATGCATATTAACAAAAAGTGTTAATGTCTTTATCAACATTAGTTAATTGTTATTGCATCCAATGTTGCTATAAGTGTTAGGGGCATTTACCAATTACCATGAAAAAAAAACATATTTAGTGGCAATTAAATTATTATTGTTAATTAATTGCCGCTAAAGATTAGTTTTGACATAGTAAAAGTCCCATTTTACTTTTAAGTGTCTTTAATTTTATTTAAGTCATTATTACATGTATAATGATGTCTTCTTCTTTTATTCATTGGTTTTCATCCGGTGTTCGGTATCCATATTGGAGTTCGATTAAATTCGAATTTGCACCGGAAGTCCCACATTGGTGGGTAAAAGCACTCCCTAACAAAGGGGATTCCGAACCCAAGGGGACTCAAACCCTAGACCTCTTGATTAAGGATAAAGTAGTACTTACCACTCCACCACAACCCTCGTTGGTAGTAAATATAGTTGTCACTCATGTATATATAACAAATTTAGTGTCTAATTAAATATTCTTTTACTAATTTTTTTACTTTTTTATAAATAAAAGGTATTTTTGAAAGCTTGGATGGATGCATGCAAATGGAATGGAGACGCTACATTTTTGATACCTTTAGGAACATATATGATATATGGTGCAAATTTTATTGGACCATGTAAAGGATCCTTAATTGTTAAAATTCAAGGAGTTATTAAGGCTTCAACAAATCCTAAAATATTTTGCAAGGATTCTTGGATTTCTTTTGAACATTTAAATAACTTAGAGATTGAAGGGGGTGGAACTTTAGATGGACAAGGAGCTTCTGCTTGGAGAAACCCTCAATGTGCAACTCGTCCTTATGTAAGTTTTCATTAGTTTTTTTTATCCACGTTGAAATCCCAACTAAATTTAAATTTGTGCTGGGAGGTCCCATATTGAGAAGGTTAAGTGCTCCTTAACAAAGGTGACTTTGTACCCAAGAGGCCTCGAACCTGAAACCTCTTGGTTAAGGATGAAGGAGTACTTACCAGTTTTCATTAGTTATACTATATTTTTTTGTCTAAATTATTTTGATTAAGATTATTTATACTGAATTTCACGTTATCTATTTCTTTTTTAATTAAAAAAAATGCTTATTTGATGAAGCATTAGATGAAAGTTAAAGTGAAAAATAAATCATTATTTGACACAATTAAAATTTTAATTTTGGTCAGTATATTAATTTGTGTTCTTATTTTATTGTATTCATTTTGTGCCTCCTCTTGTGAAAGGTAAAGTAAATATTTTAAAAATAGTTTGTACTACTATTAGGTCACAAATTTGGGGTACATGATCGGATTAGTGCGAGTTTTTCAAATATCAAATCGAATTATTTGTATCGGATTTTAAAATTGATAAATCAAATCAAACTAATAAATTTTGAGTTTTTCAACCTCGGATTTTTTGGGTTTTTCGAATTTTTTTGGGTAAAGTAATCATACAAACAAATAATGAACTTATGCTCCAAATATTCTTAAGTCCTATCAAAATATGCGATTTGATTCTATTTTCGATTTAACTTAATAAAGTTTGTGTTATTTCCTTGATCTTTTTATGGTTTCGATTTATTATGTTTTTGTGTGCATTTGAAATTATAATGTGAAGTTAATTACTAACTAAATATTATTTTCAATGTTTTTTTAGACTATTGGATTGAGTTCTATCCAAAATGCAATTGTGCACGATATACACGCTATCAATAGCAAGATGTTCCATTTCGATGTCTATAATTGCAATAACGTGACATTAAGTCATGTTAACATAATTGCACCAAGCGATAGTCCTAACACCGATGGAATTCACATTAGCACATCGTCAAATATTCGAGTTTTTGATTCCAACATTGGTACTGGAGATGATTGTATATCTATATTTGCTGGAAGTCAAAACATTAATATTTCTGGAGTCACTTGTGGCCCTGGCCATGGAATAAGCATCGGAAGCTTAGGGAATAAGCCAAATGAAGTTGTCAAGGATGTACATGTTAAAAATTGTACTCTTATAGCTACTCAAAATGGAATGAGGATTAAGTCTTGGGCATCATCAAATGTTGGTGAAGCAACAAGTATTAGTTTTGAGGATATTATAATGGACAAGGTGAATAATCCTATTATTATTGATCAACATTATTGTCCTTCACATACTTGCAGTTTTCAGGTACCAATTGCTTTTTCCCTTCTTTTCACCTTCAAATTTTATATATTGAGTATGTTGTAAGGAGGGGCGGAGCTAAGTGGGGTTTGGGGGTTCGGACAAATTCAATAGTTTTTTTGTAGATTTTGTATTTGTGAACTGCCTAACAAAATTGATTGATAGTTCAATATTAAGAAATTAGTGGTGAAAATGTTTTCCACTCTAGTGTTGTGGGTTTGTACCCCACTACCCACTACTAACAAAAGTTTCTATTAATTTATTTATTTTTAAAAACATGTTTTTGCAATATTTCTCTTTCCGTCCTAAAATTTAGAACCCCCAAGAATGTTTTGTAATATTTTTCTCTTCCGCCCTAAAATTTAAAACTCCCAAACATGTTTTGTAATATTTTTCTCTTCCGTCCTAAAATTTAGAACCCTAAGCATGTTTTATAATATTTTTCTCTTCCCCCCTAAAATTTAAATCCATCAAACATGTTTTGTAATATTTTTCGCTTTCGTCCTAAAATTTAGAATCCCCAAACTCATAATTCTGATTCTGCCTCTAATAGTTAGTCATGTTCAATAAAAATAATTTTTTGGATAATATTTTTTCTTGATTGGTGAAATTCTTGAATATGAAAGATACATGAAAAAAATAAGGAGTTAATTTTTTTGTTTTGTTTTGTGAATTAAACATATTTTAGTATCCCAAACACACAAATTTCTTATGTCATGTGAAATATGAAAATTTGTATAAGCTTTATACTTTGTATTAATTTATTGATTTCACTCTCATTTTTTTTTTATTTGTAGAAAAGCTTAGTGCAAATCAAGGATGTGATATTCAACAACATAAGGGGAACTTCAAATTCATTGGTGGCAGTGAATTTCAATTGCAGTTCTTCATTGCCTTGTCAAAAAATCAATCTTAATGATATTAAGTTGATTACTGATAATAACGCTAAACCTACAATTGCAACGTGTGCTAATGCCATAGGACACGCCACCGGCATCGAGTTACCTCCGAGTTGCTTAAAGCCTGCTCTTGAATCTTGAACTTAGGGTTATTTGAATTTTAAAAAAGTTAGAAAGAGAACGTTCGATGATTTCTTATAGATTGAGATTTTTTTGTACTCGATCGATTTCTTCAAATAATAATTCTTAATCCACTGGATCATTCTTGAGACATTATTGATCATATATGGGATTTTATTATTTTTAATTTTGAAAAACTTCTTTTTGTTGAGGCATGATGATTGTTACAGAAATGTTAGCAGTATTCTATAAGCAAAATGAGCATTTGAACAAAAATCGAGCTTTTTTTTTATTGATTATATCGGTAAGAGTTTTATCTTTTACTTGTATAATTTTTTTAATACTTTTAATTCAGAATTAAGTCTAAACGTTAATATGATTGTGATTAGTGGGACTTATATTTTAAGAAACATTCAAAGTTAAGGCAATACTTTTTTAAAATTTTTATTATCCATTGATCTCAATTTTTTTCACTAAATAGAAATTCAAAAATATTTTTATATGCTTCACATTATTAAAAAAGAATTGAAGTGAAAAAATGACTTAATATACTATGTATAAGATATAATCGACGCTAGAAAAATTCTTTAAAAGACATTGTGATTTCTTTTCTTTTATTTTGATGAGTTGTGATTCGAGCCATTATAAAAGATACTATCTATCTCATTGATAAGAATTGATATAAATTTCACTCACTATTTTAGAGAAGCTAATAAAGTAGCGGATTATCTAATGAAATAGATCACAACGATTAACTATCTACAACAATTTTACTGAAGTGTTAGAGAGTGCTAAAGGCTCATTCTTTCTCTTCTTCTTTTTTACGACAAGGAAAACCCACAGCCGCTACCTTTTGGGTGTGCATATGGTAAAAACCCCGCTCCTATGCAATAGCTCGCAAACCACATAGGAGAGGTAACCCGCACTAGGCAAGCCCGGTGCGACAAGCTCGACCCAAAAGGCAAACCCCTTGCTTTCACTGGCAAGGGGTTTCAAACTTGAAACCTCCAATATGAAAGTCCATGCCCAAATCACTAGGCCACCCCGAAGGGTAAGCCTCATTCTTTCTCGACAAAGCGCAAATGCCTAGATTTAGGATCAACTATGACAAGGTCAAATTTTTTTATGCTAATTAATCTTTGTAGATTAGAGAATATGTAACATTCTTTAGCTAAGTATTCTCTCTTTTGTTTTTCGGCGGATTACTTGATATCATGATTCAGGCAATTTTTTTTGTAATGACCTAGGGGAACAATACCTATAGTCTCACAATGATTCACGTCATATTTTAGTATTTAGGGTCACACAACAAGAATTAAGTGGTTTTTCAGTTATTTGTGTGTTAGTACGCGAAGTTTTAGTGATATGGATTTCGGATACTTTTTTTTGTAAAAACTTTACAAGACCCTCCATAATGACCTGAGGGAACAATACATATAGCATAACTTTGATTCGCGCCACTTTTTAGCATTTAGAGGTCACTCAATAAGATGTAAGCGATTTTCTCAATTTTTTCGTGTCTTATAACATGAATTTTTTGGTGATGGATTTTGAGAATTTTTTTTGCAAAAACTTTACAAGATCCTCTGTAATAACATGGGAAAACAATACGTATAGTGCCACTATGACCACGCCACTTTTTCAACATTTAGGGACCACTCAACCGAAATTAGGCGGTTTTCTCAATTTTTCATGTGAATTAGTATATGACGTTTTTGGTGATATAAATTTTGAACATTTTTTTAACAAAATCATATGATATGTGAGAGAATAAAACATGAAGTCTCGAAACTCAAGAGATAGCCAATCAACATGATAAAGAAAAATCAAAGAATAGATTTTTTTTTTTTTAAAGATGTCCTATAGCCTCTTAGAAGATAAATACAGGCGTTATCGTATAAATATGCAAGTTTCTACCAAACTCTAGCTCTTGTGCCTGTAAGGCTAGTGATCAATCTAGACACGTTGGTATCTTATTATCATGATAGGGCCTCCCAAATTCCCCCATAGATGAATCAACAATTTGCCAACATAGAAACATTTTAAAGAAATGTGGAAGAAATAAACAATAAAGTAAATAGTTTTAAAACTCATTCTTTCATAAGTAAAAATAAGAAGTGCAAAAGTTAAGTCAATCTCAAAATCTAGTATCTCTAGTACAAAAGTTTACTAAACATACAATTGTTTACTACATCAAAATGTTTCACGTCAATTCAAGTATTCGAAATTATTTTTCATAGAATATCATGTCAATTTAAGTACTTAAAATCATTTCCTTTGGGTTTCATGTCAATTTATTTACTGAATCATGACTATATAAGCTATTCCAATATTGAGAGATTTAATATAGATGGAATTCATGGAAGCAGACCGTCATTATAATATCTTTGCTCGCGATAATTATAACCTCTCGGAAGAATCGATGACTGCATCAAAAATGTGATGCTAGTACATATATCTGAGACTTTTTAATTGGTTAATTGTAAATAGCCCCAGGAATATGAAACAAAAGGTTATCTCGGACCTAGACGGACATAATCAATTGTACTATTGCATATCGCAATCAGCTCATAATCGCAATTTTTTCACTCAATATTTATTTTTGTTCTTTTATTTTGCGTATATGCAGTGTAATGTGAGATCATCTAACTTGATTAATAAAAAAATATATCTATAGTCAACTCACAAATGATGTTAACAAAATATAATTTTGAGCTACTTTTATAGTAAAAATTCGCTATTCACAATGACACTCATTTCATTTCAAAAAATTAACAGTCTCTAGTAAATAACAGTACAATCTAGGGGTGAGTATGATACGGTATTGAAAAGTATGGTACGGTTATTTGATTTATGATCTAAAAATATTATTTCATTATCATATCAAATTAATTCGGTATGATTTGATATTTTAAAAATTGATTTTGGTATTTATGGTATTGTAATTGTTTACTATAGTTAGTCAACTTCAAGTTTTTAACTTACACATATTCGTATAATAAAGAATTATTACTTTGATTTTTTTTAAAACGTCTCAATTATATCATACTTACCTTATACATATAAAAATATTCAAAATAAAGTACAAACAATTCTCTTTGTTAATCAATTACCCAAAGCGAACATTTAAATCAAGATAGAGTAATCAAAATTTCAACATATAAATAATTAGTTAGGTGCAGTATTCCTATTTTGGTATTGTTTTTATAAATATCAAATACCATACTGAATACCAAACTTCTTAAAAAAAACATATCAAATACCATAAAACCTGAATCACGATGTTAAAATTTTTTATTTCGATCTGGTATATATTCGATATCTATCATACCATGTCCACGGCTAATACAACCTAACGATTCTCATAAGCCTAGCTGGTATTTCAGTCAACTTATCATGATATTCATTCAACTTACCATGATATTCATTCAACATACCATGATATTCATTCAACTAACCAGATATTCATTCAACATACCATGATATTCATTCAACTTACCAGATATTCATTCAACATACCATGATATATATTCATTTTTCTTTCTTTGCAACTCACTAAATCCAAACAAATATTTTGGGTGTAATAATTGAATATAAATTGTCAAAAATAATATTTGTCAAGACTATTAAGGAAATAGTTTAATGAAGGAACTATAATTTGAAAAGAGTGAAAGGAAAACAAATCTCTTCGGTATAATTGAGTCAACTGGAAAGTCAAAATATGAGGTGAAAAAAAGGTGTATATAAACACAAGTGAAAAAAGAAAAGATAAAGAACGAAGAACAAAATATAAATGGCTTCAAAATTTTGTTTGAAAATAGTTTTTATATTAAGCCTTATTTTTGTACGCACTAATGCTGATGACAAAATTTTTAGTGTCATTTCCTATGGTGCCAAAGCAGATGGAGTGACAGATGATAGTGAGGTGTGAACCAATCATTTTACCTTTTAATGCATTTTTAATTAATTGTCATTTTTTATATACACACAAACACTATAACTGTAATTAATATGCACATTAACAAAGAGTGTTTATATCTTTATCAATATTAGTTAATTGTCATTACATTCAATATCGCTATAAGTTTAGAAACATTTACAAATTATCATGAAAAAAAAATATTTAGCAGTAATTAAATTATTGATAATTAATTGCCGCTAAAGATCAATTTTAACATAGCAAAAGTCCCATTTTTACTTTTTAACGTGTCTTTATTTTTATTTAAGTCATTATTACATGTATAACAATGTCTTCTTCTTTTTTTCAAAATGAGTAAGTATAGGTTTTTTTGGTTTCTCATCCGGTGTTTTAATTAATTGTCATTTATATATATATACAAACACTACAACAAAATAGCTTTTAGCAGCGATTAATATGTATATTAACAAAAAATGTTAATGTCTTTATTAACATTAGTTAATTGTCATTGCATCCAATGTTGCTATAAGTGTTAGGAACATTTACTAATTACCATGAAAAAAAACATATTTAGCGGCAATTAAATTATTATTGTTAATTAACTGCCGCTAAAGATCAATTTTGACATAGTTAAAGTCCCATTTTACTTTTTAGTGTGTCTTTAATTTTATTTAAGTCATTATTACATGTATAATGATGTCTTCTTCTTTTATTCATTGGTTTTCATTCGGTGTCCGATATCCATATTGGAGTCTGACTAAATTCGGATTTGCACCGAAAGTCCCACATTAATCGGTAAAAGCACTCTCTAACAAAGGGGATTCTGAACCCAAGGGGACTCAAACCTGAGACCTCTTGGTTAAGGATAAAGTAGTATTTACCACTCCACTATAACCTTTGTTGGTAGTAAATATAGTTGTCACTCATGTATATATAACAAATTTGGTGTCTAATTAAATATTCTTTTACTATTTTTTTATTTTATTTTTTAAAATAAAAGGTATTTTTGAAAGCTTGGATGGATGCATGCAAATGGAATGGAGACGCTACATTTTTGATACCTTTAGGAACATATATGATATATGGTGCAAATTTTAATGGACCATGTAAAGGATCCTTGATTGTTAAATTTCAAGGAGTTATTAAAGCTTCAACAAATCCAAAAATATTTTGCAAGGGTTCTTGGATTTCTTTTGAATATTTAAATAACTTAGAGATTGAAGGAGGTGGAACTTTAGATGGACAAGGAGCTTCTGCTTGGGGACAATCTCAATGTGCAACTCGTCCTTATGTAAGTTTTCATTAGTTTATTTTTTCCACTCGATGTTCGGTATCCACATTGGAGTCCCGACTAAATATGAATTTGTGCTGAGAGGTCCCATATTGAAGGGTAAAACGCTCCCTAACAAAGGCGACTATGTACCTAAGAGTGCTCGACCAGAGACCTCTTGGTTAAGGATGAAGGAGAGTACTTACCAGTTTTCATTAGTTATACTATATTTTTTTGTCTAAATTATTCTGATTTGATAATTTTGATTAAGATTATTTATACTGAATTACACGTTATTTATATCTTTTTAATTAAAAAAATTGCTTATTTGATGAAGCGTTAGATGAAAGTTAAAGTGAAAAACAAATCATTATTTGACACAACTAAAATTTTAACTTTGGTCAGTAAATTAATTTGTGTTCTTATTTTGTTGTATTCATTTTGTGCCTCCTCTCGTGAAAGGTAAAGTAAAAATTAAAAAAAAAATAGTTTGTACTACTAAGGTCACAAATTAGGGGTACATGACCAGATTAGTGCGAGTTTTTCAAATATCAAATCAAATCATTTATGTTGGATTTTTAAATTTATAAATCAGATCAAAGGTTTTTCAACCTCAAATTTTTTCGGTAAAGTAATCGTACAATGAACTTGTGCTCCAAATATTTCTCAAGTCCTATCAAAATAAGCGATTTGGTTCGATTTTCTGTTTAATTTAATAAAGTTTGTGTTATTTCCTTGATTTTTTTATGGTTACGATTAATTTCTTTTGTGTGCATGTGAAGTTACTAACTAAAATATTATTTTCAATGTTTTTCTTAGACTATTGGATTGAGTTCTATCCAAAATGCAATTGTGCACGATATACACTCTATCAATAGCAAGATGTTCCATTTCGATGTCTATAATTGCAATAACGTGACATTAAGTCATGTAAATATAATTGCACCAAGTGATAGTCCCAACACCGATGGAATTCACATTAGTTTATCGTCAAATATTCGAGTTTTCGATTCCAACATTGGTACTGGAGATGATTGTATATCTATATTTGCTGGAAGTCAAAATGTTAATATTTCTGGAGTCACTTGTGGCCCTGGCCATGGAATAAGCATTGGAAGCTTAGGGAATAAGCCAAATGAAGTTGTGAAGGATGTACATGTGAAAAATTGTACTCTTATTGCTACTCAAAATGGAATGAGGATTAAGTCTTGGGCATCATCAAATGTTGGTGAAGCAACAAGTATTAGTTTTGAGGATATTATAATGGACAAGGTGAATAATCCTATTATTATTGATCAACATTATTGTCCTTCACATACTTGCAGTTTTCAGGTACCAATTGCTTTTTTCCTTCTTTATTTTCACCTTCAAATTTTATATATTGAGTATGTTGTAAGCAGGGGCAGAGCTAAATGGGGTTTGGGGGTTCGGATAAATCCAATAGCTTTTTTGTAGATTCCATATTTGTGAACTGCCTAACAAAACTGATTGATAGCTCAGTGTTAAGAAATTAGTGTTGAAAATGTTTTCCACTCTAGTGTTGTGGGTTTGAACCCCACTACACTACTAACAAAAGTTTATATTTTTAAAAAAAATCATGTTTTGCATTATTTTTCTTTCGGTCCTAAAATTTAGAACCCCCAAGCATGTTTTGTAATATTTTTCTCTTTCTTCCTAAATTTTAGAATCTTCAAACTCCTAGTTCTGATTCTGCTCTAAATAGTTAGTCATGTTCAATAAAAATAATTTTTTGAATAATGTTTTTTCTTGATTGGTGAAATTCTTGAATATGAAAGATGTATGAAAAAAATAAGGAGTTAGTTTTTTTGTTTTTTGTTTTGTGAATTAAACATATTTTAGTATCCCAAACACACAAATTTCTTATGTCATGTGGAATATGAAAATTTGTATAAGCTTTATATTTTGTATTAATTTATTGATTTCACTCTCATTTTTTTTTTAATTTGTAGAAAAGCTTAGTGCAAATCAAGGATGTGACATTCAACAACATAAGAGGAACTTCAAATTCATTGGTAGCTGTGTATTTCAATTGCAGTTCTTCCTTGCCTTGTCAAAAAATCAATCTTAATGATATTAATTTGATTACTGATAATAACTCTAAACCTACAATTGCATCGTGTGCTAATGCTAGAGGACACGCCACCGGCATCGAGTTACCTCCGAGTTGCTTAAAGCCTGCTCTTGAATCTTGAACTTAGGGTTATTCGAATTTCAAAAAAGTTAGAAAGGAAATGTTCGATGATTTCTTATAGATTGAGATTTTTTGTACTCTATTTCTTCAAATAATAATTCTTGATCAACTTAATCATTCTTGAGATTTTATTATTTTTAATTTTAAAAAACTTATTTCTGTTGAGTCATTGATGATTGTTATGGAAATACTAAAAGTATTCTATAAGCAAAATAAGCATTTGAAAAAGAATCGAATCTTTTTATTTGACTGAGTATATATCTTTTACTTGTATAATATTTTTAATACTTTTAATTTAGAATTAAATCTAAATCGTCAATATGATAGTGGTTATTATGTTTTAAGAAATATTCAAGGTTAAGGTAGAACTTTTTTGAATTCTTATTATCTATTGATCTCATTTTTTTTTCACTAAATAGAAATTAATATTTTTATATGCTTCACATTATTAAAAAAAAAATTGAAGTGAAAAAATGACTTAATATACTATGTATAAGATACTAGATGTTTAATGCCCGTGCCAACACGTGATTTGGAGTACTTTTTACATGTTTGGATCAAAATGATAAATTTACTGATCATGATTGATGCTCCAATCAAATTTCTTAAAGGAACATTGGAAAAGAACCTAATTAAACGAAGATTCTCATTAAACATCTATACTTTTTAAGTTGTACAAACTTCATTAGATGAAGTCAAAATCTTGTAGATGTGCCTGTCCACCCAAAACATTGCCTTACTCCAGTACACAATTTCCTCCATCCATATGTCTCTTCATCATTTGGTATTACCTATTTACAACAAAATATTAATAGCCTTGAGTACATATAGTTGTGTAAATATAATTGCAAGTATATTTTCCCCAAATTTCCAGCACAACTACGTACATATTTGATGCTACAACTTTAATAAGCTCAAGCTCTATCTGTATTTGTACCAACGATAAATAGATTCAAACTATCATTGCAGAATAAATTTCCTAAGCGATCATTAAAGTTCATCAAATTAATCACTTTCTCTTAATTGAAATCAAATTATTCAGTTATTACATTATCTCGTACAAAAAACAGAATAGCCATGAAAATCACATTCATAAAACAGAAGGACAAAAATATTTTTAGTTATAAGTTATTATAATTGACATGAACATTACCTATCAACCATGAAAGCAAGTCCATTCCTTGTTAGTTGATAATAATGTTCAGATGGTCCAAGTAAAAAGGAACACTTAAAATAAATATTCATAATCCCAAAATTCCAACGAATCTTTCCACGCCCTCAAATGATAAGAGTAAAAATGAAATGAATTATTAGCATAAATAAAGCTATTTAAGAAATGAAAATAAGGCCTACCTTGGTTAGAGGCATACATAAAGCTATTGTAAGAAATGAAAATAAATCAAAGGTTAAATTCAGACTTCGATTTATTATTACTAAAGAAGAGTCCAACTTTTTTCTTTATTGAGCAAAATTTCGAAACAATGCATATTCATTTATTTAACTGAATAAGACACTATGAGAGCAAACAAAGTATTATTACACAGACAAAGAAACACCTAGGAAAATTATGAATAGAAATGAAAGCAAGAATAAAATGGAGACTCATGTTAATCATCAGTTGGTATATAATTATGTAAACTACCGGAAGTCTCAGAAGATCTAATAAATTATTTTGAAAAGAAAAAAAAAACTGCAATGCTATAACTTTCAAAAAAATTAAAGCAAAAAATGGCAAAATACTCGCATGCAAGAACTTTGAATAGCCAATTTCATACACGTAGCACAAGAGAGTATTACCAAAATATCCCCAACTTAAATTGTATTGTCAACTAACAGACATGTTGATACCATATTGATACCCACTCTTCTAATATAGTAGAATAATCGACGCTAGAAAAATTCTTCAAAAGACATTGTAATTTCTTTTCTTTTATTTTGATGAATTGTAATTCAAGCCATTATGAAAGATACTATCTATCTCATTCATAAAGAATGATATTAATTTTACTTACTATTTTAGAGAAGCCAATAAAATAGCGAATTATTTAATAAAATAGATCACAACGATTAATAGAATAACTATCTACAACAATTTTAATGAAGTGTTAGAGAGTGCTAAAGACTCACTCTTACTCGACAAAGCGCAAATGTCTAGATTTAGAATCATATATGACAAAACTAATATTTTTTGTAAGCTAATTAATCTTTGTATATTAGGGAATGAATGGCATTCTTAGCTAAGTATTCTCTCTTTTTTGTTTTTGGCTGATTGCTTGATATCATGATTCAGGCAAAAAAAAATTAGTAGTTAGGGTTATTCAATAGAAATTAGATGATTTTTTAATTTGTTCGTGTGTTAGTATATGAATCTTTTGATGATATGAATTTTGGAAACTATTTTTATAAAATCTTTACAAGATCCTCTGTAATGACTTAGGGGAACAATACCTATAGGCTATAGTCTCACAATGATTTACGTCATCTCGTAGCATTTAGGATCACTCAACAAGAATTAAGTGATATTTTAAGTTATTTGTGTGTGTTAATACATGAAGTTTTAGTGATATGGATTTTGGACACTATTTTTGCAAAAACTTTACAAGACCCTCCATAATGATCTGGGGGAATAATGCTTATAGCATAACTTTGATTCACACCACTTTTTAGCATTTAGAGGTCACTCAATACGATTTAAGCGATTTTCTCAATTTTTCGTGTCTTATTACATGATTTTTTTGGTGATATGGATTTTGAGAATTTTTCTTGCAAAAACTTTACAGGACCCTCCATAATGACCTGAGGGAACAATACCTATAGCATAACTTTGATTCACACCACATTTTAGCATTTAGAGGTCACTCAGTAGGATTTAAGCGATTTTCTCAATTTTTCGTGTCTTATTACATGATTTTTTTTGGTGATATGAATTTTGAGAATTTTTTTTGCAAAAACTTTGCAGGACCCTCCGTAGTGATCTGAGGAAAGTATACATATAGTGTCACTATGATCACACCACTTTTTCAGCATTTAGGGACCACTCAACAGGAATTAGGCGGTTTTCTCAATTTTTCATGTGAGTTAGTTCATGATGTTTTTGGTGATATAAATTTCGGACACATTTTTAGCAATATCTTTACAGGACCCTCCGTAATGACCTTGGAGAACAATAGTCTCACTATGATTTACGCCACTTTATTTGCATTTAGAGGCCACTCAACAAGAATTAGGCGTTTTTCTCAATTTTTCTTGTGTTAGTGCATAAATTTTTCGGTGATATAGATTTTGTAATTTTTTTTGCAAAAACTTTACAAGACCCTTCTTAATAACCTAGGGAATAATACATGCAGCCTCACCATGATTCACGCCATTCTTTTTAGCATTTAAGACCACTCAACAAGAATTAGATGATTTTTTCATTTTTTGTGTGTTTTAGTACATGAAGTTTTTGGTGATATAAATTTCGGACACGTTTTTGGTAAAAACTTTACAAGACCCTCTGTAATAACTTGGGAAAACACTATCTATAGTCTAACCATGATTCATGGCACTTTGTAATCATTAGGGGCCACCTAACAAGAATTAGATAATTTTCTCAATTTTTCATGTGCGTTAGTACATGAATTTTTTGGTGATATGAATTTCAGGAAATTATTTTGCAAAAACTTTACAGAACCTTCTTAATGACCTAGGGGAACAATACATATTGTTTCACCATGATTCATGTCGCTTTTTTAGCATTTAGGGTCACTCAACAAGAATTAGGCGAGTTTCTCATTATTTTTTTCATGTGAGTTATTACCTAAAGCTCTTGATGATACGAATTTTGGGCACTTTTTTTTGCAAAACTTTATATGACCCTCTGTAATGACTTGGGAGAACAATACTTGTAATCTCACCATTGTTGATGCCATTCTTTTAGAGTTTAGGGACCACTCAATAGAAATTAGGCAATTTTCTCAATTTTGTGTATAAACGTACATGAATTTTTTGGTGATATTAATTTCAGAATTGTTTTTGCAAAAACTTTACAGAACCATCTGTAATGACCTAGGGAAACAGAAACAATACATAGTCTCACTATGATTCACGACACTTTTTTAGCAATTAGGGGATACTAACAGAAATTAGACGATTTTCTCAATTTTTCATATGTATTATTAGTACATGATTTTTTTAGTGATAAGAATTTCGAAAACTTTTTTTGCAAAAACTTTACAAGGCCCTCCGAAATAATTAGGGGGAACAATATCTAGGTTGGCAAGGTAATTTGCAGAATGGACAAAACTCTAGGCAATGGAGACTGGATGTATCTCTATGGACATGTAAAAATTCTCTTCTAAAGGGATATGAGAATAGTTGGGGACAAATCGAAATGCTCAAACATCACCTTAGTCATCTCAATAATGAACATTTTAAAGGGATCACAGATAAGATTGACATGGTTGGACGATATGTGATAACAACAGTTGAAGCAAAAACAACACATCAGAAATTATTCATATACAGGGTTCATCCCAGAGAAGAGAATTGGAGATAATACAATAATGGCACTCACAGAAGTATGTTTAAGATGGACCTACAGAAAGCTTATCATTCTGTTGAATGAGCTTTCACTGATCTCTAACTCTGGAATAGGGATGCAATGGCTAAAATGTGTTGGGACTTGGCAGATTCTGCATGAAGCGGATACATGCTTATTATGGATATTTCTAGACCACAATAAGCTAGTTAGATGGTAAGGAAAATCCTAGATGCTAGAGGAACTGTGCAACACATTCAGGAGAGTCCTCCAATTATCAAGAGCATGATACTTACAACTGATAGGAGATCATCCCAAAACATAGCAGCACTTGAAATCTTTAAAAGGGAGTTAGATTGGGTTAGAAGAAAGCGATACAAGCTGCAAAATTTCAGTATTCTATAATGAAACATTTGAAAATCAAAGGCCAGAAACAAAATCTTAGACGAGAACAGCACCGCGTTCATCAACAGAAGAAAGAT